CTCTATTATGATATTAATTTTTTTGAATTCTTAATATTTTATGGATGCACTTTTTAGAATTGATAATGAATAAATCAAAAAATTTGCAATTTACTTTAATTATATCTTCTTAAATTGTTTTAGTTTATTAATTATAGTAAAAATTTGAATGAAGTTTCTTTGTGAACTATTTTCAATCAATTAGGGTATCCTGATTGATTGCAACCTATATATTCTTTTGCTTTACATTTGATTCTTAAAAACTAATTAATTCTTAATTTTTGCATCCTAATATTGTCATATGATTACTAATGAAATAATAAAAAAGCATTTAAGAACAAAAATTAAAATTTTTAACTTAATTGCATAATAAGCATTAATAGTATGCAGAATTATTCAATAAGATAAAAATTTATGCTTCTGGAAATATTTCAGTTACATTATATTTATAGATTAACAGAATATAGATATTAAAAGATTATAAATCTTATTATTATTACCTAAAAGGGAAATCGTGAGGAGTTAAAAAAGCCAAACGAATGTTATGATCGCGTAATGGAAATAAATAGAAAGAACGAAATATTGGTTATCTATTAAATACATTTAAGAAGAGCAAAATAGATATTTTTATATATATATTTTTTTGGAATTGATTTGTGATACAATTACATTATGTTTAGATAAGAGTCAAGTGTTATATTTACAGTAATAAAAATTGAGAAGCTTCAATTCCCTAAGCAAATAAAATTAAAGATCTAGAATATCTTATGGATAAGAAAATATGGCATTTGAGTGCAAACTTAAAAGTATTTCTTAAAATTATGATATCAAGCAAAATGTATAATAAAATTGAAGGGCTATTATAATTATAAAAAATTAATTTTAAGGTAGTATTTACATGAAAAATTATAAAAATTAATTAAGATATTTGGAGTTTGTAATATTTAATAAATAGAGATTTAAGTCTATAAAATATGCTAATAATTAACTTGATAATTCATATTTTTTTTTTCAAATTTAAATTGTCATTCCAAACAAATTTTTATAATGGATTATCATAATATAACTGAATTTGCTTTATTTCTTTCTTCTATATATTTTTTAAATGGGTATAATATGCCTATTTACCTTAATATACAATGTCAACTATTAAAGTAAAGCCCATTATGAAACAAAACAGAGCTATATGTAACCATCCATATAATAAATATTAATCCTCATTTAATTCTAAACTGTAGACTAAGAATGATCCTGTAATTAACAAAAATATGACTTCTCTAAACAACAATTTTATTAAATCAAAATTTGATTTAATAGGTCTAAAGAAGATCAAATATATTAAATAAAATAATGACTGCATAGAAAGTAATATTGATTATGCTTCAGGATATCTTATGAATTCTACAATAATTGTGATATAAAAAACTGTTCTATATATTTAAAAAGGTTTGAAATTACTTGCCCAAAATTCAATTTTTGAATCTTAAAAAAAATACTTCCATTTTTATTTATCTTTAATTTATGAAGTTGTGATAGATAGTAACCTAAAAAATATTTAAATGAGGAATAATAAACTTGTTAATGCAACTATGCTATTAATTATCTCAAAAATAGAATTGAATGTATATTCAGGAAATTATAACAAAGTACTAAATACTAACTAATGAAGTGTTGAATAAAATAATTAATAGATTCCTTAAGAGAAATAATAGTTTTTAACTTTAGAACATTTTGATTGAATTCTTTTTTAAAAGATTGAAATTATGCGAAGAACTTTCATACTATCTTTATTTTTTTCAAAGTTTTTTCCCATCCATTATGAAACCTTTATTGAAGATATTAGACAACACATAAAATATGTTAGCAATGATAAAAAGTAAGAAAAGTAACATCCCTTAGCATTCATTAAATAAAATTAATTCAAAACATCAATTTGTTTTGATTGTTGAGATTTCTTTCTAAAATATGGAAGAGTACCTCCATTAATTTAAGCTATAATTTCATCAACCTTTAAACTATCTAAAATTGGTTATAAAGAAATTTTTGTATAAGTTTCAAGAAATTAAGTTAAATGAGGAGGAAATTTATATTGCATATATCTAATGTAAGATAATGATTATAGTAAGTCTAATAAATTGAAAAAAACAATGTAATTACCAGTTAATAATAGAATTACAGAAATGCTAGTTGATGAATAAACCATAGCATCATTCATTTTGATAACTGAGATTACTCTTTTCTATGTAGCTGTTGATAATATGATCGGAGTTCCTAGAGGTAGTTGTTTCGAATTAGTACTTAAATCCAAATCAAACTAATTAAAAATACAAAATTTCTATATTGAAATTTCTAAAATTGGATCTACAACAGGCTCTAAAAGTTCAATATTAATTTGATAAATAGGATTACTTAACTAAGAAGTAATGTTTATTAATGGAATAATAGTTAGTTCATATTAAGTTTATGGAATGATCATAATATCTAATGCATGGTCAAAAAGATTTTCGCATGATATATATACTTCTTATGAAAAACTTATGTCAATTATTTTTGTTTTATTACTTTTTTCAGAAAGTAAAATTAAATTGAAATTTGGTGCTTGAATAAATGTGCAAATACTTATAGAGTTTTCTTGATTAAGACATTTAAAAGAATCTTCTTAAAAACATGAAGCTGAACATCCATCTCCTCCATCATTATTTCCATCATCACATTATTCAAAATGGCTATTAAGTATTCCATTGCCACATAAATTAATACATTAATTATTGAAAAATGCTTAATTCTGATTGCATTATACAATTAATTAATCATTATCATTTAATTCCTGTTTTAGTTCTGAATCAATAATTTACTTAAGTTATTCGCACTTAAAATTTTAATTATTTAAATAATAATATTAGTCTTCACATTGTACACATTTATTGTCCTTCTCACATTAAATACATCCATAAGAGCATTAGTATTGACATTCAAAACATCCATCATAAGGGATATCATTACCATCATCGCATTATTCAAAAGGAAGAGAAATTATATTGTCTCCACAAATCGGTAAACATTTCCCTTCTTTAATCTCATAAGGATATATACACTATTCACAATTTTAGAACTTATCACAAACCAAGCAATCATGATCACATTAATATTTACAATTAACACAATTAAGATCTTCAGGATCATCACATTATTCGATAGATAAAATAGCCAATAATCCATCTCCACAAATTTATATACACAAATACTCTTGAAGTTACCATCCTTCTTTGCATATATAGCATTTATTTTCAGAACAAAATAAACATTCTATTTAACAACTTTATTAACATTTATAACAACCATCAAATTGGATTCTATTCTCATCATCACATAGTTCTTGTGATAATTTAATTCCATCCTAACATTTAGGAATACATTGTTTTTTATGAAAATCTAATTCATATTCATTTTGGCATTCCAAACATTTTCCAAATTATTCCACTTTACAATTATTAATTTACAAAAATATTGATTAATTATTATGTTGATATCCAAATACTCTAAAATTTATAAGATTCAAATCATCATTAGTTTAATATATACTTTAGTATTCACATTGTGTTCTATATTACTAATATTATTCCTAACTCATAAAGAAATTGAAACACTCTACTTATTCTTCCATATAAGTGTTATCTAAATAATCAGAAATATATTAGCATTAACCATCTAAAAGTAGATATGAATTTCCACACTCCAAACATTTTCCAAATTCGCATACTCTACAATTTTAAGAGCAGGAGTATTTGCATTAGTAACATCCATCATAAGCTAATAAATTACCGTCATCACATTCCTCATCATAAGTGATGATAGCATCTCCACATTAAGGAATACAAGATTTTATTTATTCTAAAAATTACCATCCAATAAAACAACCATAACAAATTCCTTTAATACAATTTTCGCAACCTTAAATACAATCATAATTATTTTAAAAACAACCATCAAAAGGAACTATATTTTTATCCATACACCCTTCATTACTAAGAAATAATTAAAAATCTCTCATTCCTATATATGTCGGCAAATTGTTATGTAATTTAAGTAAATCAACTTTGATATCAATTTTTAACCTTTATCCTTGATGTTAAAATAAAAATAGATTAATCTCCTACATAGAAATCTCATCACAAATATTTTCGACTAATTTTAGTTATTCGTAAACATAATCAATTGTAAGTACTAAACTCTCATCGATATAAATATGAATTTTAGTTGATTAAGAATTAAAAATTAAAAGTTTTAGTTAGAAACTTATAGCAACATGTAAGTTTAACTCAAAGATTTTAAACATATCCTTACCAAAAGTATCTATGTAATTAAATCCTTAATAATAATATGTTTTATACCTAAACAATTTTTAACTGTGTTATCTCCATGCTACCATCCTTCATCTGGATTAATAATGGAGAATTCTTTTTAAGAAAAAAGTTACAAAAACAATTCTTAATTAATACATCCATATGAATTACATGAATTGCACCCTATTGAACATTCATTAATTGATAATTGGAATTATGTTATTCCCCAATTGTAATTTTGAGCTAACATAGCCACAGTGACTGAAGAACTTATGTGTTGAATTGTAATAGAAATAGGGAAAATCAGATATTCATCACTCTTTTAGCATGTATTTTCATAATTAGAGTTTTAATAAATCTATTAGTGTTCAATTTTACTATCTATGTGAACAATAAATTTAAAATTTTAATAACTATATGATCCATTAAAAGCAGGCCAAAATAGAGTGTAATTATAAGATTAACTTTCTTAGGATCGCCTCATAAATTTAAAATCTAATGTCAATTAGTAGTGAGGTTAGAGCTCGAACGTATTGTAAAGCAAATATTGATATGATTGAGATTATTGTACGAATATAGCTTTATAAGAACCACAATCTTCTTTTATAAATGTCTTCTAACTATTTTATTAATTCATATAGGCTTTCCAGGCTTAAATTATAGAATTTTTATTTTTACTCTCTTAATACTCGCTAAAAAGATCCTTGTAAACTATCTTTTATTCTGTAGAAATTTTAATAAGACTATAGATTATGAAAATGGAGGTTAAATTCAACCATTTGGGCTAAAATTTGAAAGTAGGGATATTAAAATTAACTCCCTAAATACCTTATTTAGTGTGCAATGATTTGTCAAACATGTAATAAAAATATTAATAATTTATACACATTATTTAAGATAAATAATTTTCTATACATAAAATTCCAAACTAAAAATTAATATTTATAATTCTATGTAATGAAACTAAAATACTCATAGCCTTAATTCTTAAGGAATATTTAACTCATTTACCTTAAATCATACAACAATAATATTGTAAA